GAAGTCAGAGGAGGATAGTGTTTATAAAGACGAAAAACTCCCAGAGAGAAACCTTCTGCCTCCCTCCCTGCCATGTCCTCTCCCTGCCCTCCCACTGGTATTTGGTGCAGGAAGGTTGTAGCCAGCCCTGATCTTTGCTTGGCTTTGGGCTAAAATCCCCAGAGCATCCGCGTGCCCCGGCGCTGGGGCCCATGGCCCTGCTCTCCTTGGAGGTGTCGCGCTCGCCTCCCTTTTCTCCCAGAGCAGCTCTGCCCACCGTTGGAGAAAGGAAGAACAGGCAGCCGGAGGCGGCTCAGCTGGTGGTCCCCGGGCACAGAGCAGCTTCCAAGGCTTCCCTCATCCGCAAGAGGTGCTCTCCTGGAGGCTCTCCTGTGCTGCGGCCTCGTGCTGAGCTGCCTTCCAGCAGGGCCCATGTTGTCCTGTGTTTGCCCTGGCCATGGCCGCAGAGAGCGCCGCAGGTCGGAGGTGACTGGATGCGTTGGCCGCCCTGGGCAGGTTTCGTTGGACATGGGACCCGGGCAAAGGTCCAGTTTGAAGTTCGTGCAGCAAACGAGGTCCAGAGCTCTGGGTCTTGTTGGTTTTCTTGTGTAACAAGGCTCAAACCACAGAGCTCGTTCTCAGAGAAAGCAAGCAGACAAACAAACAAGATGGGGAGAGGAGTGTGCTCATCTTGTGCTTGCCAAGAGGCAGCAAATAATTCCTCTTGGGGTTTCCCAGCATTTGGGAAAAACCCAGGAGGTCATGTCAGGATTTTTTTCAGTTGCTTTTTCTAGTTCTTTAGCTTAACTACATGTTGCTTGTTCCTTGCTGGGCCTACAGTTATCACTTTGCAATTACCCACAGCCTTTTGGGCTTTAATTAGACACTGAAGCTTTTAATTGAATGAAGGGCTGTTTTCTTCTGCTGTCTGCTCAGGAGCTGTGGATATTTTCCGCCAGAAGGGTGCAGCCGCAGCTGGGATGGTTGTCACCTCCAGCACTGCATGCTCTGCACCTGTAGTCACATAGCTTCTTCCTTCATCCAGCGTCTTTGAGGAGTGTCATGGGTACGAGGGAATCCAAATGCCCGGACTGGTGAATCCTGGCAAGCTGTAGCCATTCTCTGGTGCGAGAAGGTCCAGGGGGCTGGAGCAGTGTGAGAGTCAAGGCACTGCCTTGCCCGAGGCTGGTCCGGGGGGAGCTCATGGGTCCGTTGCTCATGAACTGCCTGTGTGGGCCCTGGTTGAAATTCAGCACTGGGAGAGCTGGGTTATTCTCCTGCCAGACCCGTCCTGAGCTGGGTGGACTTTCTGCTTTCTGTCCCCAAGACATCTGTGCAAATCGTAGCCTCTTCTGCAAAGCGCAGCTCTTCCAGTAACCCTGCCTCTGTGCACCACTGGGGAGGTCTCTAATGGGATAATAACAGCTCAAAATAACCTGTGCAAGCGAAGGAGACCTCGTGTGCAGGAGCCCTTGTCGCAGGCGGCCGCGCGCCGTCCTGGGCCGGCTCTGGTGGGAACCCCCCAGCACCGAGCTGCACTTGGGGAGACCCTGCAGACACCCCTGCCTTTTTTGGGCCTTGCTGCCCCAAGTGCTCTGTGTATTCATAGTGCAAATGTGTTGTGGGCAGCATCCAGAGGTCGAATAGCAGAGAACCAGGACAGCAAAGCTTGAAAAAATATTGACACAGTCCGTCGCGATGCCTGGGAACCCGCTCCTTCTGCGCTGGCATTGACCTCGGGTGCCCGTTCCCTGTGGCAGCCTGAAATGCCCATGTGTGCTCGGGCTCCACGTTCCTCCCTGCCCCTGCCCTGCAATTCCCATGCGAGGGAATTCGTGCTAAAAGCGCCTGGAGCAGGGGCGAGAGCGCAGCAGCTCCCGGGCTTGGCAGGCACTTCTACAGCTCTGGCTGCAGCTGTCTTGTCTGCTGCGGCTGGACAGACCTAGTGACACACACTGCTGTCCTTCCCAGTGGTTTCTGTAGTTGGTTCTTCCAAAGAAAGGGGTAGAGAGCTGAGGAAGGGGAGGGTCCAGCCAGGCTGCTTCTGTGCTGCTCAGAGAATCAAAATGAAGATCCTGATGTTGCCCAGAGTAGAAGCTTTCCCATAGGGAAAGTAGAAGTAGAAGCTTTCCCATAGCAGAAGCTTTCCCATAGCAGAAGCTTTCCCATAGTAGAAGCTTTCCCATAGGCTATATTCCAGCAAGAGGACCCCCCAAGAAGTACCAGGAAAAGAGGAGAGGAGAGTGACATGAAATGCCAGTGTTGAAGAAAGCTGAGCACTTTCTGCTGGAGAATCTCATAGCCACTAGCGTGTGAAGGTCTCTGGTCAGGAGGAAGAGCAGCAGGAGGAAGAGGAGGAGGAGATGTCCATCAAATGATTTTCCAGAGCTGTAGATGCAGAGCTCCTCACGCAAACCCAGACCGCAAGGGTGCAAGGGACAAATGTCTAGTTACTTTTCCCATATTTTTAGAACTGTGTCCCTGCTGGAATATGTGGGTGACTTCCTCATGCTTTTTTGTGGTTCATCCTCAGAAAGCTGAGCCCTGGTAGGTGTTTGCTGGGCTACTCTGCAACAGCAATGCGAGGGCAATTGTGAGGATCTAGGAGGCCTGGAAAAGCCTTTCATTCCATCATTTCCTAGCGGGATGTTCATTGGGAGAAGGCAAATGAAGTGTCCTTAGGGAAGCACAGTAGATCAGGGTTTGTGCTCAAGGCTGGATCTTTGTCTGCTGCCAGTAACACGACGTGTGAAGGGTGGCATGTGGATGCATAGCCTGGGGAGGCAGAGAAACCCTGGATTTTTGGAGATGACCCTCCCTCCATGTCAAGGCAACATGGAGGGACAAATGAGCACTTTGGAAGTGGAGATCCCTCTGGATGCTGGCGCAGGGCCTCCTCCAGCCCTGCAGCTCCCCTGCGGCTTCCCAAGGGGAATGGGAGCAGAGCAGGGTCCCTGGCATCCAGCCACGGTGGGACTTTTAATGGAAAGTTGGTGCGCTGCGAGCAGCTCGGTCTCCACAGAGGCCGCCTCGGGAGCTCGTCCCTTGGGCAGCTCCTCACGGCCCTGGCGAAGGGGCTGGTGCAGGTGCTGGGCCACGCTGGGGCCGTGCCAGCTCCCAATTATTTTCAGCTCCCGCAGCCGGCCCATCCGTCCCCTGCTGGCAGGAAAACCTCCGGCACAGAGGGCACCTCTGCGCCTGCCTTCCTCCTGCTGGGCTCCCTCCTGGGCGAGGGAAGCGCTGCCCTCCGGATGTCCAGCCAGCCGGCATGCGCCGGGAGCGGGACAGCGCTTTACCTAACTCCTTTCTGCCTTCTCGTGCTCTCTTAGGCTCTGTTTTTCCTAAAGTGGCTTCATCTTCCTCAATTTTGCGTTGTGCTGTGCACGTCTTGCTCTTCTCTGCCTCCCTCCATTTCCTCCTTTGCTCCCAGTTCCCCTTTCCTGCCTGTCTGGCTGCTTTAATAACCCCATTTCGTGCCTCCGCTCTCCTCGCAGCGTGTCTCGTTGCTGCTCTCCGCTGGATGTGCTTCCCTCACCCCTCGCGTTTCTTCATTGCTTGCCATCCTTCAGCTGATGGCTCCAGATCTGCAAGGCTGCAAGGGATAAAGTGCCTCCTGCCTGTCCTGAGTGTTTTTGAATGGTGGGTTTTGTATTTTTTGCATACAGCGACCCAAATCCTCCGTGACGTCAGTAGCTGCCACCGCAGGACGTTGGCACCCAAAGGCCCTGAGGCTTTTGGGGCTGGAGCCACCCCACGGGCGAGGCAGATGGGAGCCGGCGGCCACAGGCGCCCCCGGGGCCACGTTGCCTCTTCCCGGCCTCGCGCCCTCTCTGCTCGCGCTGAAATTACAAACCAGGGCTCGTCCTCGGCACCCGCAGCCGCCAGGTCCAGGCACCTGCCTTGCCTCCCTGGCCTGGGGCGGCGCCAGCCACAAGGTGCCTTGCTCCAACTGCTCCTTCGGGGGCTGGAAAAGCCTCACATTTGGTCACTGCCACTTTCTTAGGTGACTAATTTCCACCCTCCTGCTTATTTTTGAAAGACTCCCCCTCCTCTTCTGAGCAGAGCTGTTGACACATGGCAAAAAATAGCATGGGTATGTGATGCCTGCCTGCAATGCACTCCAGTGGCTGCAAAGACACGGGCTGGCACTTCGGGCCCGAGCAAGCGGGATTATTTATAGCCAGCCTCCATAAATTGTCCCTACTATTTTCTCTGAGCCTGATCCCTGTTCCCTTTTTAACATTACTGTTTATTTTTTCCCTTCCCAGACTTAACTGGCTACCAAAACTGTACGAATGGCGAAGGAACTTGTAGGAATTCAGGGAGTCATCCAATAATAGGATTTAGTAACCTGCTGGAGTCGCACCAGTGCAACCTAAGCCAGCTTGCAGCCTCATTTGGGTGGTCTCCATCACCCTTCAAGGGGTGGTACTGGGGTTTCAGAGTCACAGGAATACAGGAATCGGGAAGGACCTGTGGAGGCCGCCTGGTCTCACACAACAGCAACAGGGCCCTGCGTGGGGCTGTGGGCTTCTTCCCCACATCTCCTGCACCCCTATCTAAACAGAAAATGTGAGTTTAAAGCCCGAAGTGTGCTAAGCAGAGAGTAAATCTGTTTCTTCTTGTAGTTATGGCTTATCTGGGAGGCTGTAGTTTAAGTAATTGGTTTATCTAGTCTCAAAAATTTCAAAGAGTAATAGCAGATAGTGATGCAAGAGTCAAAGAAGGACAGAAAAAAGAAGAACAAAATGATATTTTTTTAAGAGCCTGATCAAGAGTGGGGTTGTTTTTTGTTCCTGCTTTGCTCTGTCAGTGAGGTTTAACTTCAAATTCCGCTTCATGCTTTGGTGGCAGCAAGAGCCTTGATGTCTCGTGACCCCGCCAAACCGCTATAAAATGAGCTTGGGGCCAGGAAATGGGAGCATCTTCCCCTGTGGACGGGGTCTAAGTGCGCCCAGGCTGTGGTGGGGGTGGCTCTGAGTGGCAGGACCCCAGCCCATGTGTCGCTGCTTGTCTTCCAGCCCATCACTTCATCGTGGCCACGGCGTGCCACGAGGCCGACTACGGGCAGCTCATCCGCGACTACTGCCTGAGCCAGTTCCAGGCGAGCATGGAGGCGCTGGGGCCGCGGCTCTGGTGCGACTGGGATGAGACCCTGGGGTAAGTGCCTCCCCACGGGCGGAATGTGGGGACGAGCGGGAGGGCTTGAGTGCGGGACAGACAGATACCCACCTTGTTCTTGCAGCCAGTGTCCTGGGCACGGTGGATGGAACAGGGGCTCTGTCAGGATGGCGAGGCGGGGAAGGCCCCCCCCCTGCCCCCGGCTCAGCCCACCAGTACTGAGGGCAGGGCTGCCCATGAACCTCTTTGCATTGGGTTTTTCTTTGAGCAATGCCCTGAAGTACATTTTTTGGGTGTGGGGAGGACTATCTCCACCCTATCTGCAGTGAGCAGAGCTGACTTTCCCAGCACAGTAGTGGTATAAATAATGCCCGACACGGTGCTTGGAACGAGCCTGCAGCTGTCCCAGGTACTGTCATCCAAGACTGTTCCTGTCACTTGTCAACAGGCGCACGTCAGGCCTGTCTCTAGCTCGTCAGCGAGAGCTTCTTTTGTGCTTAGTTAAAAAACAGATGTCGTTATATATCTGTGTGTGTGTGTGCGTGTGTGTGTGTGTATATATATATATAAAATTCATGCACACACACACACACACAGCTGTATGTGTGTATGCATGTATATTCATGCATATACATGCACAGATATGTGTGTAGATATATACATGGATAGACATGCACATTTATATGTGTGTATTATATATACACATGTGTGTGCATATATATATATATGCATACACACATATTCATACATTCATATTCATACACATATATGTGTGTGTAGGTGTACATATACATGTATGTATACATACAGGACATATGTGTGCATGTAGATGCATGACTTTGTGTGCGTGTGTTATTTCCTTTGAAGCTCTCCTAAACCCACTTGGATGCAGTCCTGTGCCACATGCTCTAGGTGACCCTGTGTGTGCCAGGGCG